ATCTAGAAAAGAAATGAATTAACTCAGTTTTATTCATATCAAATTGAATTTAATTGATATCTGCTCTAACAAAGATTTCCTTTACAGCTTCTTCAATTACTTTCAAATTCTCTTTGATAGTTTTTGAGCTGTAGACTAGATCAATATCATTCACATAACTCAGAGATCACACTATTCTCATATTTCTATTTTTGAATAGATATGCAGTGTATATTGTAAATAAAATGAGTGAGATTGAAGATCTCTGTAATACTTCTATTTTTATCTCAGTTTTATCTTATTTCATTCCATCAAAGAAGAGTTGTATAATTCTTTTAGATATAAAACAGTTAACTCATTTTATTAGAGAAAGTGACAGTTTTAATATCTTCAATGTCTGAATTAACTTTGACTTTGAAACATGATCAAATACTTCTTTTATATCAATAAAAACTGCAGTTGAGACCAGACTCTCATACTTTGCTATTTAAATATCATGAACAACTGAGAGAACAGTGTTAATTACAGAACACTGTTTTCTATCTCTCATTTATTCACTGAATAAAAAAGAATCATCTATAGAGCTTATAAAAGATAGTCAAGTAGCTATTATCTTTTCTAAAATCTTTTCTAAACAGTTCAATAGAGATATTACTCTATATGACTTAGAAATTGAAGTTTTTCTATTAGGTTTTATAAGAATCACTTCAGTGGCTTCTCTCCAGCATTCAGAATGATATTCATTTTTCAAGAGATTGAAAAAGAGCTCAAAATATTCATTCTTTAAGTAGGAATATGTATTTTGAATAATCAGGTGATTAATTGAATCAGAATCTGCAGCAGTTTTAACAGAACTTGAGAAGATAGCTGACTCTAATTCATCTTGTGTAAGATCAGGCTATTCTCAGTCATTTTCATCAATGTAGTTAAGAAGTGATATATTCTCTTTCTTTGAATCTGAATCTGAATCTGGTGAGTTCTGAAAGAGAATTCTCATGAAAGCTTGACATTTTTTCTTAAAAGAGTTTGCTGTATATGATTCATTCTGAAACTCATATTCTAAGGCTGGAAGTTTTGCTACACTTCTTGTTTTAGTATAGTTAAAAGCTTTAAAAACTTTCTTCTCTTATGCTTCTTCAAGAAATTTATTTCAGCAGTCTGTTTTAGCTCTTTTGATATCTGAAAAATATTCATTTCTGACAGCTTTGAACTCTTTATCAGATATTACATCATTCTTTCAATCTCTTCTAGCAGTAGCTAATTCTTTTCTTTTAGATGAGATATTCTCATTTTATCAAGGTTTTGAATACTCAGAAGATTTTCTTTTTGAAATATTATCTCTAACACTTGTTAGAATAATAAATGTAATAAGCTTCACTCTATTCTCAAGCATTTCATTTGAGATATCTTGACCAGAATTTCAATATAGCTCATTCTGTCTTTCAGATTTTAACAGTTTTATACTTTCTTCAACTGCTTTTAAATCAGCTTTTTCAAAGTTATACTGATTAGAGAGAAGAGGATTTTCACTCATTTGTTTTTCACTCAGTTCAATATTAAATTGAATAATCTCATGATCTGATTCTGATGTCTCATTTGAATTAATAAACCAGTTTACAAGTCTTTTTTTCATTAGATTTTGTGATATGAAGATTAGATCTATAATAGACTTCTGTTTCATGCCTTTTCTAAAGAATGTTTGTTGATCAGACTTATTAACCAAATCTATTGAATGCTCAAAGATTTATTCAATCAGATTATCAGCTCTCACTGCTCTCTTGTATTCTGAATTTCATCAGAGATGATGTGCATTGAAATCTTCTACAATTATAGAGTTTCTTGATGAAGTTATATTCAGACTTTCTCTATCAATTGTTCAGATATTATTATTTTCCTTCAATGACTTTTCATTATAGATATTTATGAGCTGTATAATATCAAACTCATTTTCTTTATCTATAATATCACTCACCAGAATATCAGGGTCAGACATGATATCAAATCTTAGATTAAATTGATATCTTGATCTCTTTCTTTCATAGATCACTACTCTTGACTTTATCTCAGACTTTTGAGATAAAAAGCAGTAGTAGCTTGAATGAGAAATGATATATTTTTACTCAGTATCAAAATTCAGCTCCTGAAGCAGTATAAAATCAACTTTTTATTCAAATACAATTTGAAGATAAGAATAAATACAATTTGAGTTTCTATTCACATTATTTTGAATAAATGTGATTTTTGAAGAGTTTTTAAACTTTTTTTATTGTTTTTATTGTATATTCATACTAAAAGAGAGTAGAGTAGAATCTAATCACTATTATCAGATAGTAGATTATAACTGTTCTGAAAAGTAGAAATCTCAACTGCTTACATTATATCTAGTTTATTATCAGAGTCATTTCTCAATTCTCTAATCTTAACAGAAGTTTGAGAATTCAAATTCTGTTTACATTTAACTGAAGAATTGAAGTTTGAAGACTTAGATAGTTGAGAGTTTCTTCTTTTTAAGCTTGTAGTTATGAGTTTACTGACTTGACTCTTCTCTTCAATTCTAGATTGACTTTGAGCTTCATCTTTTCTCCAGTTCTTTTGAGTTCTAGAAGCAAACATACATTCTTTTGAGCTAGATGCATGTTTTTCTTTACAATTAGAGCACTTAAGCAGAGTATATTAACAAATTTCATCTCTTTTTGAGCATGTTTCACATTTATGCTCACTAGTTTTGTGATCTCTGGCACAGAATGCACATTTTGAGTCTCTAAAACATGAGATTGTAAAGTGTTCATATCTTTGACAGTTTGAACACTGTGTTTGAGCTTTGAGGTTCATTCTTAAGTCTTTGTATTCATGAACTCTCATTTTCAAATCTGCTACTCTTACTTCAGAGATCTTTGACTGTTCAAGTGTTTTTATATATACTAGAACAGAGGCATTTCTTCTACTTTGTCTGAACTCAATTGAATTTAGTTATACAGACTTCTTTCTCAGTTGAATAGAGTTATATTCTTTCAATTCATTTTTGAGAAGTAGTATTTCTTCTTCACAGTCAAAAATTTCAACTGAAATATCATGAAGAATGAATTTGTCTCACTTTTCATCTCTTTCAGATAGAATTATTGTATTTAGCAAAGATTCTACTGCTGACTTTCAGAGATTCTCATTCTGAATAAGGAATTCAGCACTGAATTCAGGCATTGTAGTCAGAATGATAAAGTTTTCAAAGAATAATGACTTAATTAAAGCTATAACTTGTTTTTGAACTTCAATATCAGTTATTAACTGAGAAAAGAACTGCTGATTAATTTCATTTCTAATTCTGAAAATGAGATTTGAGTTTAGCTTGTTTCTTTGTAGAATGTTCTGATTTGAGACTTTGAGAATAAATCTTCTATTTCTGAAGATTTGAAAGTTTTTCTCTTTTTGTATTTTCTTTTCTACTTTTCTATGAATAGAGGCATGGGCAGTATTCTTCTCAGTTTTCTCAGGATTTTGAGCAGGTTTTAAGACAGCAGATTTAGAGATAGCAGATTCAGCTGCTTAAGCATATGTTTTCTTCTGATTCAAAGAAGAAGAAGAAGTAGAAAAAAAGAAAGAAGAAGAGTAAGATGAAGAGTCAGTGATTGTACTAGGAATTTTCAAGGTTTTTTGAACTGTGTTTGAGATTTCAAGTTTGAACTTGATCATCTTCTGTAGTTGTCTAGTCTGAGTATGAAGAATTAACAGAACTTCTTTATTTATCTCACTCAGACACTGCTTTTCAAGAATCTTACTTGCTTTTTCAAGTTTCTGTATTTCAAGAACTTGTTATTTCTCTATTTCTTCTTTCTTTCTTCTCTTCAGAATTTCAATCTCAGGAATAGCATTTGAGAAAGCATCTTTTTCCATATCAACTAAGTGTATTTTTGAACTCATTATTTTCACTCAATGAAAAGTTGATCAGACTGTTTCAATTGAGATATTTTTAAGTCTGTTTTCAATTGAAAAGTTGATCAGACTGTTTCAAAAGAAGAATAAAAGACTTTTATGTATAAAACATCTGATTTTTTTCACACTAGTTCAGTAACTAGGTTAGATTTTTAAAGAGAATCTAATAAACTAAAATTGATTTTTAAGATAAATCAATAAAATCTTTATAATCTCTTTCTTGAGATACAGTGAGGAAAAGTATGATATCAATTGATAATAAATCAGATAATATAACAGTTTTTAAGAGAAAAACTGACAAAAAATAAATCAATTTTTTGCAGAGAAATTGATTAAAACTATTCAATTTTATTCTAAATCATTCAATTCTTCTCACACAACAAGTGTGCAACTCAAATCAGTTAATAAAGAGTGTAAAAAAGAATTAAGTATTAATGAAAGCTCTTCAGCTACTGAAAAAGTAATTCTTACTTAAAAGAATATGAAATTATGATAGAAAACAACTCTGTTTTTAATTCTTTGTAAGAATATTGTATAAAATTCAGAGAAAAACATCTTACTTTTTCAAGAGAAGTAAAAAACTATTTCTAAGATTTTTTTTTTTTTTGTATTAACTGCTGCAGAAGAATGAGATAGAAACTGTTAAGATATGCACTACTGTATACTCTCTATCAAGACTTTCTCTCTTCAGAGTCTTGATATTATAGAGAATATAAGTCTGTTTCTATATAATAATATAAATATTATCAGCAGAATGTAGAGAAACTGATTATTTATATCTCAAAATAGAAGACTTTGTCAATGATTATATCAATATAGAGTTAATTCTCAAATTCAATAGAAATCTAGTATTGCTGTTCTCAATTCCTTGCAGAATCTATTGAATATTGAGATATTAAAACTAGATTTAATATATCTCACTGTGCAGGGATCAAAGGCTCAGTCAGACCTTGAAGTATACTGATTTTATAGTTGTTGTGTCTGCTGATTATGTATCAATTACAGTTGCTGAGGTATCTTTTTATACTTTTCTGTTGAGGATGAGCCAGATTGAGAGAGGTGATACAAGGGTGAGACTTGGTGTTGATGTCTAGATACACTGAAGACAGACTGCAGAGATTGCACTTCAGAAGTGGCTGTTGATTATGTGCTTGATATTATCACTGAGATATCTTTTTGTATTTTTCTGCCGGGGATGGGCCAGATTGGGAAGGGCGATATGAGGGTGAGACTTGATGTTAGTGTTTTGAAACATCAAAGATGGACAGGGTTTTCGCAGAGGTCACTCCTCAGATATCTTCACAACTACAGATCAGGGATCTTCCAAAATCAAGAAGATTGGTGCATATGGCTAGGTCTCTTCACCTTACAATTTGTATGGCAATTTGGCCCGGGGTTGTGGTGTGATAGGGGAGAATGAGGGATAATCTCACGCAGGAGTTCTGAATGACATCTGGTTCACATTTGGCTGGATAACTCCACCACCACACGGGGTATGCAGTCAGCAATGGGGTCAAAATGCTTGTATGATTGAGGGCTTTTTGATGAATCTATCAGTGAGTTCTTATTTGAAAAATTGAGTGAGTTTGTGATGAAGCAGTTACTGTCACTCACTGATCTTAGAATTGTATATGAGAGTTATATGTTATTACATTGATAAGAACTGAACTTATTAAGAGATATTAATTAAATTTAAATCATTGATCAGTAGTTATACTGAAAATTATATAGTAGAGATATTAATAACTATGATTAAAAATAACTATTAAGATATTAGTCTTAGTCTTCTTACAATTATAACTGATAATACTGTGAATAACTATACTATAATAAAGAGTTTAAAGTAAAAATTGACTTTGCATTTCTGAAATGATAAATAAAATTATATTCTCTGTATTACTTATATGATTTAACTTATAATATAAACACTGATAAAGAATCTTAATATTAAGATAAAGAATAATGAGATAACTGATTCTTGAGATAAGAATAAGATGAAAGTAATTACTTAAGTAACTTTTATATTTACTTTATAAAAGATAATGTTTTTTAATAATACTTTTTAATATTATTTTTTGATAATACTTTTTAATAACACTACTGTTAATTTTGAATAGATTGATTAATAATTTAAATATCACAGATTTGAAACATTATTAATATAATTTATATCTTCTCTAAATAATAATAATAATTTCATAATATTCAATAAATAAACAAATCAGTCATATCACTGAATATGATACAGAATATTAGAATACAGTGAAGTTTAATATATAAAATAACTGTTCAGACTCTTTAATTATATCAGATAATTGATTATTGAGTATAATACTCTGATTAGAAAAAGATTCAGATAATAAAACTTTCTGATATGAAGTAAACTCAGTTAAAATATATAATTGATTTACTGTTTCAGTTTTATAAGATAATAAAGACAGTCTTAATTACTTATAATATATTAATACTGCAGTCAGTCTGATAAGTGTATAACAGTTTATTTACTTATTTTAAGAAGCAGTTGAATCACTTAAAAAGAAATTCAGTCTGAAATAATACTATAGTACAGGCTATTATTACTATAAGAAATAAACTAGTATATTACTACTGTGATTCAGAAGAATGTACAATCACTGAATAATAACACAGCTGCTTTCAAACACACTTCTGAACACACTTATGAATGTAAAGAGGCTCTAGCGGCCACTAATTAATTTAGATAATGTATATAAGAAGCTGATGTATGCCTGTAATTGTACACTGACTTAAGCAATCTTTGAATCATATCTGATAGCATGTCTAAAAACTGGTAAGAAGTGCAGACTTCTTCAGAGCATGATAATTTCATCTACAAAGTGATTTGTAGTTATCATGCTAGTATAATTCTAAAAACATTTCAAAAGATAGTATATAAAGAGCAGTGAGTAAAAGAGCATCTGATTAATACTGCTTCACTTATTGAGAGAAAACTTCATATTCAGATGAATATCATGTATTGTATATAAATAAATAAGATGTGAGAAAGAGAGTGTAAGTAGTGAACTAGATTCAAAGAAGATTACTCTCTACTCAGAAGAATAAAAGAGAGAGTAGTCATTATTAGAGTTATATAATAATAATAGAAATTATATAATAATATAGTAATATAATAATATAGTAATATAATAATAGATATTGTATAATTAATAAGAAATTACTGAAATAAATATCTTCTCTAGTTAATATAAATAACACTCTTCTCTGCTATCTAAACTGAAAGGTATATAGAATCTCTCAGGAAATTTACTTAAAGTAGTAAGAAAAGCAGCTGAGACTACTGAACTAAAATCAAAGCTCTGTATATATATGAGAATTCTAAATGAAATCAAGACCTTGTATACACAGTGACAGATTAAGATAGAAGTTAAATAACAATTGACATTCACTGCAGATCAAGTATTTACTATAAAGAGCTTCACTGACACAATTATCATTATTAATAAGAATAGAGAAAATCAGGTCTTAAATCTGCAGTAAGAGATTAAACATTTACACAGATAGATAACTGTACTGAATCTGAAGATCTTATTATAATTATTTACAATCTCTTCAGAAGTATATATATTATCTGAAATCACTGTATAGAATGAGAATCTGAGTATGAAATATATCAAGCTAAGAGATCTATCAGAGTCATCAAGCTTCAATAGTAACTGAAGCCTAAGTGACTGAATGATTAATACAGTCATTCAGTAGCATCTTGATGTGAGAAATCAAGGTGTGTGGGTTTGAAACCCGCAGAGAATACATTAAATCCGGAACTCAAGCATCTCAGGTTTCTAATAAATACAGAGATGTACAAATCACTTCAATGAATTGCTCTATGTTTCTGAGCTGAGAAGTTATTATCATATGTATCTAATTATCACTTCTTTGTATTTTTCTATGTTCTTGTTATCTTAATATGATCTTAACACCTGTATTTCCTTCTGTATAATTAATACTTAATCTGTATTTAACATCATGCAAGGACTCATCATAAGCTCTGCTTGTATATAAGTATAATGAAAGAATAATAATAATAATAATAATAGTAACTGAAAAAATAATGCTGTAATCAGCTGACTAAGTCAGATACAGTTATATTATCAGATTAAATATAAACTCACAGACAGATAGTTAATAGAATTTCAACAAGTTTTAAGATCTGCTGTGTTTCTACACAGAAAAGTGAAGTTATTATAAATAACTGATAAAAAGATGAATCTCACAGATCTGAAGCAATATTCATTCTTATAAATATAAAATAAGTTTTTCAAATGAATCTTGCACAACTTTGAGAAAGTGAATGTATGAGATAAGTATTATAAACACTTCACTGAGTGTAGATAAATGAGTAATCTTATATTATACTTTACACACTTCAGCTTATACTATCTTATGTTGAATGAAGAGCTTTCAATATCTTTCTATTTACAGATCTTTATTCATAATCTTACATCTGAGTTAAGAGTGAAATGATAATACTTAACCTTATAATCAGATATGATGAAAGAAGTATATAATATTCTCATTATATAGAAATAAGTGAGTTAATTATAATAGAAAATACTGCAATTGAGTATACTTTAATAAAGAATAAGTAATCAGACTTTTACAATACAAGTCACATATCTGAATATGATAAATCTAGATTTGAATATTATTACTAAAGTACTGAATTCTCTGAAAAAGAAATTCTCTAAGTAAAAATCTTAATATTATGAGTATCAAGCTTGCTTCAACTGCAGACATTAAAATCATGATATAAAAGATTACACATAGTATACACAGTTAGAAGAAGTAAGAGAGTTAAAAAACTAGCAGAATCAGTGAGCTCAGAGACACTTATTGATATTCTATGAAAAGTTTTCAAAATGAAAGAGATATCTGTATTAGATAATTCTCTGAATTCTATAAATATTAAGAGAAAGCAGGCTTCTGAATGAGATATAAGTGAGAATGAAGCAGATACTCATCTCAATGTCTTGAGACCTGAAATATTAATGTATAAGAGACACTTGAGTAAGAATCAAGAGATGACTATAAAAGTGTTAGTAAATACAGAAGTATTCACATAATATATTAATAATTATATAATTTAAAGACTAAAAGAGATCTGCTAAGTGAAGAATCTCTGATATATAAGATTATCTGATAACTGATATTTGATATTATCTGCAAGAGTAAGAGTTTTCTTGTACTTTGAAGAATAATCTTACTATATTTAAGTGTGAGAGCTGCAGAATGTGAAATATAATCTTATTCTCAGACTTAATTAATTCTAAAGGTTTAATTTACAGATTCAATGATATATATGTTATATACAGTTAACTGATAGAAAGAAAACAGTTTATACAATTCTATTAACTGATATAAGAAGAACATTTCACATCTCTGATATAGAAGAATTAAATCTGCTTATACATTAATAAGCAAAGAGAATAATTTACAAGATCTCATCTAAAAGTATTCTGTATATTATATAGAATCTGAAAGTGAAGAAAACTAAGATAAAGAGAATAAGTATATAAAGAAGCTTCTGAAGAAGTATGAAAAGATCTTCTGAACAGATCTTTCACTGAAATTATCACTGAAATGAGAATTCATACATGAGATTGATATGAGAGATATGAAATCAGTCAATCAGAATATGTACTCTCTGTTATAAATGCATCTCAAAGAACAGAAGTGTCAGATCACAGATCTTCTAGAACATAATCTTATATAACTCTTATTAAGTATATAAGACTTTTCAGTTCTATTTATGAAAAAGACAGATGAGAAGTGACAGATATGTATTAATTATCAAGCACTTAATAAGCTTATGATTAAGAATGAATATTCACTGTCACAGATTCAATAATAGTTGAATATGATTGAAAATATCTGATATTTATTAAAGATTAATCTTCTATCAGAATACTGACAGATCTGTGTAGATGAACTATCAGTTTCATGAACTATATTTAATATATAATAAGAGAAGTTTGAATTTCTGACAATGTTATTCAGTCTGATAAATATGTTCATCATCTTTTAAATGATGATGAATACAATTCTTTATAAACAGAATAAAATCTCATGTCTTATATCCCTGATGACTGAATGATTAATGCGGCCACCTGGTAGCACCTTGGCATGGGAAACCAAGGTGTGTGGGTTCAAAACCCGCAGAGAATACATTAAATCCAGAACTCAAGCACCTCAGATTTCTAATAAATACAGAGATGTACAAATTGCTTCAATAAAATCACTCTATGTTTCTGAGCTGAGAAGTTATTATCACATGTATCTAATTGTCACTTCTTTGTATTTCCTATGTTCTTGTTATCTTGATATGGTCTTAACACCTGTATTTCCTTCTGTATAACCAACACTTGACCTGTATTTAATATCACGCAAGGACTC